TTATTTATATAAAAAAAGAAAGACATAAGATGCAGCACACTCCTAAACTCATGATAGCATTTGCCAGGGCAGTGATAACCTGTGCCAAAACAATAGACACATTGTAGATTGAGAAAAAAAGTATTTCGATGTAGGCATAGGATTCATACCCACAGTGTGCAAAAAAAAGGTTCTACATATTGTACATATTCTACATATTGATATAAAAATTGTAACGGAGAAATGAGCAAAGAGCAAAGAAGATCCAAGTAGCCAACACATGAAAAAGTGTTCAGCTCACTAGCAGTTTGGGAAATGCAGATCATTATTGTATACCTATACTTACTGGCAAAAATCAGAAAGCCACTTACTTATAGCTGGGTGGGATGTAGGGGAAAGTGTTTCTTTAAATCTTAATGGTAAAAAGTGTAAATTGCTACTGAACTTTGAAAAGCTATCTGATGTCATCTAACAAAATTAACCACTCAATCAATCAATCCACCTGTTCCATTCAGGGGACTTGATGCTCTCAAGATAAAATCACCAGGACACATCGATATTTGCATAAGAATGCTAATTGCAGCATCATCCCCAGTAGCAAAAACACTAGTACAAAGAAAAAGGCCATTAATAGGGTACTGTAGAATAAACACTGATACATCTAGTCCATTCAATATGGCTTTATACAGCAATTAAAAGGAATGAATAGAGCCATATTGGAGTTGAAATTTAAGGAATGAGGTATTGTGTGGAAAACAATAATTAAAAATATAGGGCAAAAATGTTCATAATATCGCTCTACTTTTGTAAAACAAAATAATGACAGAAATTTCTATTGTACATATGTGTATGTGTGTGTGCTGGGCTGGTAGTCAGCGTACACTGATAAAACCATATTGGTTATTTCAGCAAGTGTTCACTGTGTTTCGTTGGTACTGTGCATACTGCAGCCAGTACATATTTGCTACATATTTTGAAGGTCATTCGTGCATATATGCATTCATATTGTATACAAGTATATAAGAAATATGGAGAAAATATAGATGGCTGCATAGTAGGCTGTTAACACGGATTACTTGGAAAGGAAAGGAGGCTTCTTTAGGCAGGACAAGAGAAAATAAAAGAGGGGATAACCAATCTAATAAGGAAAAGAAAAATAAAGACAGTAGGAAAACCTGTGTAACACAATCATAAATATGCTATGCACTTCCATAAAAATATGTTTTCAAGTATATAGTATTTTAAAAATATAAATGTGAGAAGCTTGTATTAGTTAGCATTGTTGCAATCATGCCGTGTAACAACCCAAACCTGAAAATCTTGGCAAGTACAATGAAAGCATGTATTTCTCACTCACAGATCAGTGGGTTGGCTGGCATGACTGCTTTAGGCTGTGGGTCAGGCTACAGTCAGCTCCCTGTGTCTCTCAATCTGAAATCAGGACCACCTGGGGCATGCTATTCTCATGGAAAATGGCAGTGGCACAGGAGGGGAAGCTAAGCCACACAAGCACACGTAAAGCCTCTGCTCATGTCTCATTCACTCACATTCTGATGTCTGCAGGAAGTCACATGGCCAATCCAACATCAGTGGGATAATATGTTCTCCCCATAAAGGGGTGGTGGGGGTATGGGGGAGGGAGAGCGAATACTTGCTAAATGAAAATACAGTCTCCCCCAGAATCCTGTGGAAAGCTAGACAAGAAAGGATGATTGTACAATGGAGAGAGAGCTCTCTTGGAAAAAGAAGAGAGAGAAGTGAAGACAATGCCGCGGGCATGTTGTACAAATGGCCTAGCCAGTTGAAGAACACAGATAACCCTGTCCTGACACATCATCACAACAGATGAGATACTTGTTGGGGGAGAAGTATAAATTGGTGCAACATTTTTGGAAGGTTGTTTAATAATATCTCTTAAAATATAAATGCACAAACTTTAAAAACAATCTATAATTTCTCTCCTGGAATGGAACCTATCTGTGGATATACTAGCCAAATGTCATCAAGTAAAGCAATGTTTATAGTAGGAAACAAAAACTAGGAAAAAACTAAATATCGGAAGAATATGGTTAAATAAATCATGCTATATCCATAAAATATTACATTCTGTAATTGTTAAAAACAAAATACAAGCACTCTATATGTGCACATATCTAGAAATACCAAGATATATTAAGTTTAAAATGAAAGTTCAAAAAATAAGCAAAGAATATAAACAGGCAAGTCATACAAAAGAAAACCCAAATTGTCAATGAATATAAAACATGCTCTACTTCACTAGTGAGTAGGGATTTCTAATTACAAAAATAATATGATACCATTCTACCCTCAGAAAAATTGATTTAAAAAATCTGATAATACCAAGTGTTGACAAAAATGTGGAAAAGCAGGAACTCTTACATGGTAGCAATAGTATCATTCACAAGTAATAAATGAACCTGCCTCTTGAAACTTCTGCTCAACAAAGGGACAACTGATGATATAGAAGGACCTTCTTTTCTTCTTTCTTTCTTTTGGAGGCAGAGTTTCCCTCTGTCGCCTGGGCTGGAGTGCAATGGAGTGATCTTGGCTCACTGCAACCTCTGCCTCCAGAGTTCAAGTGATTCTCCTGCCTCAGCCTCCCAAGTAGCTGGGATTACAGGCATGCACCACCATGCCCAGCTAATTCTTGTATTTTTGGTAGAGATGGAGTTTCACCATATTGGCCAGGCTGGTCCTGAACTCCTGACCTCAAACAATCTGCCCGCCTTGGCCTCCCAAAATGCTAGTATTACAGACGCAAGCCACTGCGCCTGGCCTGTTTTCTTTTTATGATAGTTATAACAATGTAGATATAGGCTGTGAATTTTAACAAAGCGTTTAGAAAGGCTTTCATGGCATCCACGTGGGGAATATAGAGCTACGTGAGTTGAAGATTAGAACAATTAGGAGCATCCATAGCTGGCTAAAAAAGAAAGAGCACAGATTGATTATTCAGCAAGTGCAAGCCAAAACGGGGTCTCTACTGGTGTGCCAAGATCTCTAGACTAGACTCTTGTGATGTCTCAACTGACAGGATGTATGGCCTGGTCATCAAATGGTCAAATTATCCATTCAGCATAGTGCACATTCAACTGATTCATTGGGCAAAGGCAAAAAAAAAAAAGTCAAAAAGACCGGTCTGATAAAATGAATATGTCCACAAACAACAAAACAAGTGTCATAGGCATCAATGTGAAGCCAAGTGTTTGAGTACAAATATTCACTGGGATGAGTGCAGAGTCAGAGATAGGAGGTTTGTTAACAGTCCATGTAAAAAAGAACTGGGAGGGTTTTTCACTCATTAAAAGATCAACTTAAGTCAACAATACATGTGGCTACCAAAAAGTAAAAATAAAAGTCTATTGTAGATTAAGCTATGTCATTAGAAGAGTTCAGAAGTTGTTGAACTCATTAATTACATCATTATATGAAGTGCCTGTTCAGATTTGGTTTCTTCCTCTTTTTTTTTTTTTTTTTTTTTTTTGAGATGGAGTCTCGCTCTGTCACCAGACTAGGGCGTCGTGGCATGATCTTGGTTCACTGCAACCTCCGTCTCCCGGGTTCAAGAGATTCTCCTGCCTCAGCCTCCTGAGTAGCTAGGACTACAGCACGTGACACCACGCCCAGCTATTTTTTGTATTTTTAGTATAGACAGGGTTTCACCATGTTGACCAGGCTGGTCTTGATCTCCTGACCTTGTGATCTGCCCACCTCGGCCTCCCAAAGTGCTGGGATTACAGGCGTGAGCCACCGCACTTGGCCAGTTTCTGCATTTTAAGAGGGACATTAAAACATTATTTCTATGGACAATATGTAAAACATTTACTATGCTCCAGGAATAAGTAAATATAAACAACAGGATAAGTTTTGTGTCATTTAACAGTTGTAACAGCTCTATGAGGCAGGCACTAAAATTCTCGTTTCACATAATAAAATAAAACTATGGCTCAGAGAGGCCAAGGCAACACTCTAACCAGGACTCAAACCCAGGTCCCTACATCTATAGCCCCAGCCTTTGCATAGGACATTCTTCCACTCGCAGCTAGAGGTGGGAAGGCAAAACTCAGGATGAGTGCTGCAGCCATGAGGCCCACTGGGAACAGAGCTCTGCAGCAGCCCGTCAACGCTTGGTACATGTTTATATAACTGTATGGTATAATTTTAGCAGTTGAGCCAATCACTGGGCTCAGGAGGCTTATAGAAACTAATCAATGCTTGGTCATAAAGATAGAAAATTAAAACTACTAACACTTTAGTAGTCACTCATAAGTATTAATAGATAAATTAACAATAGCACTATTTAGTGGCAGAAGCACCTACCACTGCCTCATCTAAGTTGTCTGTACCTTCTCTGTCCCACCACCTCAATTTTTGTCGAGCTTCACCAATGGAAAAAACCAAAAAAAAAAAAGCAGAAGAAACTCCAGTGTCACTTTGGCATAGGCTAGAACTCAGGGAGGCTGAAACGGAGAGGCCACAAAGGCTGACCTGGAACTTTCCAGTTATAATCTCTCACATTTCCAAGCCAACAGAGGGAACGACACAAAGAAAAATCAAAGCTAAGGGATCCAGCAGAAAGCGACCTAAGTCAGTTTCATGAGACTCAAACCCAGGAATTGTTCCTTATCTACTGCAAAGGAGAAAGTCACTATTTGAGGGAGCTAGGCCATGAGTCTGGAGTTCCCGGCCACTGTTTTGCCATCTCTGCCTGGTCATGAAGGCCAGAGGAAAGCTCTGGGGGAACTGGAGAGAGACCACCGTAGATGGCACTCGTACTGGTTACTGAGTGTGAGGAATGAATTACCCCAAAACGAAGCCACTTAAAGCAACATATTTACTATCTCACCTGCTCTGTGGGTCAGAAATGCAGGAGTAGCTTAGCTGGTGGTTCTAATTCAAGGTCTCCCCAGAGGCGGCGGTCATCTCAGGGCTTCCTGCGGGAAGAACTGCACTCACCCAGCAGCAGGTTTCAGAGCACACCTGAGTCTGAGCTTACTCACGTGGTCGTTGGCGGGCCTCGGGTCCTTGCTGAGAGCTGGAGACATCAGTTTCTTGCCACCAGGGCCTCTCCATAGGACTACTCCCAACATGACAACTTGAATCCTGCAGATGGAGGGCTCTGTGAGAAGAAGAGCAAGCAATGGCATGCAAGGCCCAGGTCACAGTCCCTCTGCAACCTAATCTCAGAAACGACATCCCATCGTTTTTATTGTGCTCTATTTGTTAGAAGCAAATCTTAGGTCCAGCTACACTCAAGGGGAGGGTATTACACAGGGAATGAGTACCAGGAGGCCAGGATCATTGAGAGCTAGTCTAGAGACTACCTAACACAATAGAATTTGAGCCCCTGGAGTCAGCCATGCCTGAAGCCTGATTCCTCCTGGTCTTCTCAGTTATGAGACATAATATATTCTCTCCTTGTAAAAATCAGTTCAAGTTGGGTTTCTGTCATGTCATGTGTAGCCCAAAGACCCCTTCACTAAAACATTAATACACATCCTGAAGGCCCACGCCAGTAACACCAGAGTGGCAAGAGAGGTCATCACACAAGCTTTCCCTGGAGTGGATGCAATTCTTTTTTAGGTTTTATTGTTTTGTTTTGTTGTTTTGGCAGCTCTATGCCCAGTGCCTACCAAGCAGAATTCTTAACTGTTCTGTACAATCCTTGATGGTATTTTTGGACTTATTCTGCCTGGTTATAAAAATCTAGCATTCTCAGATTCTTCCCAGCTAATTTAGCATGCCTGTGTGCAGTGTGAGAGCATGCCAAACTCAGAATTTTCCTGCCAAAAATGACAGTGACTAGAATTAGACCATCAGGAGTGCAATTAGCTTAGACATGCTATTAACACCCCAACCATGAACACAGAAGGAAAAGCTGGAAAAAAAATGGAAAGTTAAAAGAAAAATAAGTTAGCTCAGTTAGTGGCAAACAATAAAATAAATTTCTACCCTGAATTCGATTTTGTTGTGGTTGTTTGTAAATGACGCAAAATTTTAACAATCACTTGCATAAATTTAGCAGAAAAACAACCTACCATGTGTCTCTGGCTAATAAACTATGCTGTAGAGAATACTGAGATTTGAGAATTTTCCTTTCTACACTCGCCTTAAAATGTATTCTCTTTAGCACCCAATCATGGTGGATGGTATCACTTATCTCTCAGACACTCAACCATAACATAAAAGCTGTATGAGTTGGTTTGCTTTATGAAAGATATCATCTGTGTATGTATTGCCTACGTGTGTGTGTGTATGTGTGTGTATCTGGACATATTTTTAAATACAGGATATTACTACATTGCCCAGGCTAGAGTGCAGTGGCTAGTCACGGGTGCAATCATAGTACACTGCAGCCACAAACTCCTGGGCTCAAATGATTCTCCTACCTGAACCTCCCAAGTAGCTGAGGGCACCACTACACTCACACCTCACAAAATACATTATTTAAAAAAAAAATTTCAGCCACGTTTTTTGAGACAGGGTCTCACTCTGTTGCTCAGACTGGAGTGCAGTGGCATGATCTCGGCTTGCTGTAGCCTCAACCTCCTGGGCTCAAGCAATTCTCCCACCTCAGTCTCCTGAGTAGCTGGGACCACAAGTGCGGCCCACCATAGCCAGCTAATTTTTTTTTTTTTTTTTTTTTAGAAACAGGGTCTCACTATGTTGCCCAGGCTTATCTTTCACTCCTGGGCTTAAGTGATCCTCCCACCTTGGCCTCCCAAAGTGCTGAGATTACAGGTATGAGCCAACACGCCTGGTCAGTAATTATATTTTTAACAGGAGATGCTCACATGGACAACAGGGTTCCACTCTCCTCTACATCAGAGGTGTCAAACTTGAGTATGCTTCCAAATCCTCTGGGGAGCTTATCGAAACACAGATGGCTGGACCCCGTCCCTGAGTTTCTGATTCAGTTGGTCTGGGGTGAGGACCCAGAATTAGCATTTTGAACTAGCTTCCAACTGATGCTCCTGCCAGTTGAGGGCCAGTGCTCCAAAAGTTGAAGGGAACTTGTTCCTCTCACAGCCACTCTCAGGCCCCCGGCTCACTCATGGGCCTCTAGAACTCTCACCTTTCTCTGGCATTGCTAATTCTCCAACTGCCATCCCTCTCTTTCAAGTCCATTTCTCCTAGCCACCCGGCAACCCAATTTTGTGACATTTCTGGCATTTTTTAGCTTAAAAAATTTAATTTCTGATGATGTCTTTCTCATTCTAAATAAATTTTCCCTTTTGTATCTAGTTTTTATTCCAAATTTTGTGCTCTTTTGCTTACAGACCACTCACACACACATAATTATGTCAACCTTCAGGCCCCAGCAGACTAATAGCCCATTATCACATTGCTATAAAGAAATATTTGAGACTGGGTAATTTATAAGAAAAGAGGTGTAATTGGCTCATGGTTCTGAAGGCTGTACAGGAAGCATAGAGGTTTCTGCTTCTGGGGAGGCCTCAGGAAGCTTCCGATCATGGCAGAAGGTGAAGGGGGAGCAGGCATTTCACATGACGGAAGCAGGAGCAAGACAGAGCAAGGCAGGAGGTGCCACACACTTTTAAACAACCAGATCCCACAATAACTCATCATCATACCAAGAGGATGGTGCTAAACCATTCACAAGAAACACTCCCATGATCCCACTGCCTCCCACCCGGCCCCACCTCCAACACTGAGAATTACAATTGAACATGAGATTTGGGTGGGGACACAGAGCCAAAACGTATCAACCACAAAACCTGGACCTGCTTCATTGCATGGAGCTCTTCATGGGAGGGGCCTGAGAGAGGGAGACTACCTAAAGTAGACGTTCAGTATCTCCACAAACTCCCCTCCGCCCTCTTCCCGACAGACAGAGGGAAACTCCTCAAAAGGCACTGACGTTTCAGAAGGAGACTTGTGCTAAGCACCGACTCCTGGAGGGGAGGTCGCATGCCTTCAGCATGGCATAAGGAAGTGACCCCCAACTAACACCGGTCAGGAGGACGTTTCCAATCCCCCACCAGGGCCCAGGGCCAGGTGAAGCCAGTCAGGGACAATAGACCCTGTGAAGATTTACCAGCTGGTGCAGTACCACAGCAGGTGCTAAATTAAGTCGTGGAAGCCCAAAGATCTAGGGACAGAGCCAGAGAGAACTGTGACATTTAGCCCAGTCTGACTTTTACCCAGGCATTGTTCCCCTGGGCTTACTTACTTACCCGATCATGGGCTCTCTCCCCTACAAGTCAAGCTCCTAAACAGCAGCAACTTTGGCCATCAGCATTACATGTAAAAATAGAAAGCTATAAACTGCAGGACTTTTTTCAGTCTTAAGATTATACTTGAAATCTAAAGCTACATGTTCCAAAAATGGTCATTAAGAAACTTTTAAAACATAAAAATACTATCATCACAAATGCTTTGAGAATAGCAAGCCCAGCTAGTCTCAAAGACACCAAAAAGATGAATCTTAGCCAAGTTGGAGTAAAGGCCCTTTCAAGTCGGATCATAAAACTGGGTCCTTCCTTTGCCACAAGAATTCTTGCGAAATTCTATTTTAGCTGCTGTGGTTTACTGTGATGTAACCTTAACCCAGAGACTATGACACTTGTTTTACTATTTGCTGTAGAAAATTGAATTTGCTCATTGTACATTCGTTATGAAAAATTTGGTTACCATAAATCTTACATTATTTAACCCATTATTGGTGACTTCTCCGATCGTATTACAACCAAGCCAGGACTATAGTGACGTAGATTCACTTGGGGTTAGAAAAAGCAACAGGAACTTTTCCTCATCACCTAAGTCATGTAAAGTGGGGTGGTTGGTTGTCAGCTTTTTAAAATGATAATAGCAGAATATTTTTTGAAAAGCAACGCAAGAGCTTGACACTTTCTTCCACCAAGGTCCCAGCATCTAAAAGAGTGTGCGGTACTTGATAGGTGCTCAGCAAATGTTGACTGACTTATTCATTGGCTTCTCATTAACACTGAGAGGAAAAATATCTGTCAGCACAGGGCTCAACTGGAGGTCAAAACGTTAGAGCAGAACTTTCCTGGGGTTCTCTGAAATAACTTTTATCAATTTGCCTCAAATCTTTAAATGTCTAAGCTTTCCTCAAACACATAACTTATTATCATGAAGGAGGCTGGATCCAGTGAGAGATGAAATGCAGTTACGAACTATACCCTTTAAAACTGTTGGTCCCCGGCCGGGCGCGGTGGCTCAAGCCTGTAATCCCTGCACTTTGGGAGGCCAAGATGGGCGGATGACGAGGTCAGGAGATCGAGACCATCCTGGCTAACATGGTGAAACTCCGTCTCTACTAAAAAATACAAAAAAAAAAAAAAACTAGCCGGGCGAGGTGGCGGGCGCCTGTAGTCCCGGCTACTCGGGAGGCTGAGGCAGGAGAATCGCTTGAACCCGGGAGGCGGAGCTTGCAGTGAGCTGAGATCTGGCCACTGCACTCCGGCCTGGGCGACAGAGCGAGACTCCGTCTCAAAAAAAAAAAAAAAAAAAAAAAAAAAAAAAAAAAAAAAAAAAAAAACTGTTGGCCCGACAAGTGCTTCCAGAATACAGTGGATTAAACGTCAAATACATGAAGCAGTAATTCAGGAGGCCACTAGAGGGCAACAAAGGGCCAGGAATTTATTCCCATTTAGGCCCAGTTTCTTTCTTTCTTTTTTTTTTTTTTTTTTAATTATACTGTAAGTTCTAGGGTACATGTGCACAACGTTCAGGTTTGTTACATATGTATACATGTGCCATGTTGGTGTTTCTATGAGCCTGAGGGCAGAGGTGAGAACACAGCTAAAAAACCGGAAAAGACAGAGATGGATGATTTTTAAAATTTAATCCAAATTAACAAAGTACATTAACAAAGTAGGAAATGCTTAAAAGTCATGGACGCAGGGAGCAGAGGACAATCGCATTACTAGTAGTGTTAAATACAAGGTTGAAAATATCAAATATCAGGGAGAATATACAAAATCAACAACTGAATCACTAGAAATTTGAGAATCTGAAGACAGAAAGCAAAGGGCACATGGTCTGGTAAACCTGGGCTGACCCTCTCAGCCTGAAGTCAGATCCCCTGCAGCGACTAGATACTCCTGAACTGTGTCCTGTGATGAGGAAAAA